TTTTTGGGGTACTGCAGTTTTTCGCCGTTTCACGGTCGCACGCAATCTGTAAACTGGGCATGTTGGGTATCGTTTTACTCGTTGTAACCTCATCTTTTATATTTCATTTAAAAAATGGGTAATTTGTTGTGTTTTGGGGCATTTAATTAAATTTGTCACTAAATTTTGGGGTTTAATAAGGAGTTGCGCTAATATTGCGCAACATAAAAATTTTCAACTACCACCATTTTATTCTATAGGGTCTTGGCATTCAGAAAATATATAATGTTGGGGGGTTTTACGTCATTTTCAGGCCTAAAATGTGGAATATAACATGGGTGCAAAAATTGAAAAAAGGGCCTCAGTCATGAAGGGGTTAATAACCACTTACAGAGCGATCCACAACTCTGCCCCCTGCTATATTTCCAATCTCGTCTCAAAGTATCACCCTAATAGTCCTCCCAGGACCTCCTGCTCTCTAGCTCCCTCATCAACTCCTCCCACTCTCACCTCCAGGATTTCTCTAGACTCTCTCCCAACCTCTGGAACTCCCACCCCTACCTGTCTGGCTATCTCCTACTCTGTCAGCATTTAGGAGATCCCTGGAAAATCATCTCTTTAGGGAAGCCTATTCCACCTCTACCTAACCACTAAATTATCACTTTCTCAAACAACATAAACAACCACCTTTTGTAACACCTGCCCAACCCTTTTAGATTGTAAGTTTTCATGGGCAGGGCCCTCCTGCCCATCTTTGTATTGAATTGTATTGTAACTGTAATGTTCCTTATTTTGAAAAGCACTGCGCAAACTGCAGACATCCCAAGTCTCCCGGACGTTCCGGGAGTCTCCCCCTATTAGATAGCGGCTCCCGGACGCCCGCAAGAGAGACATTTTATCCCGCAAAGGATTGAAACCTTTCCTGCTCGCCGCTCACTAGTATAAATAAAGTTTTTCGCTGTAAGGTATATATATATATATATACACATACATACACTCGCACATATATACTATTATAAATATTATATTATTTTTTATGTTATTATTAATTAAATAATGTTTTTATTTTATTTGTATTTTGTTTGTGATTATTATTGTATGCTGCTGTTGTAAATCAGCAGAGGTGGACCTGAGCTGCTCCTCTGCTGATTGACAGCAGCAGTGGGTGGGTACAAGAGCAAGCCTGCTATTGGCTATTGCAATTTGAAATTACCAATAGCAGCCTAGCTATTCATTCCCCTGCTGTTTTATTTTTTAAATTTTTTTTATTGTGAAGGTGGCCGACGGCCGCTGTCAAAATAAAAAAAAACAGAGACGGTACCTCCCTGAAATGAGAAGGGCACCTCCCTGAAATAAGGTTTTGCAGGTTGGGATGTATGAAACTGTTGACGCTATATAACTCCTGTATAGTAATAAATGCCCTCTGCCCCAGTCCACAATACAATACCTGTTGCCTATCCACAGATCCAGGCATTGTCAAGTGGGAGAGACTTCAAGGCCAAAGAAAAGAATATGATGGCAATTTAAGTGCCAGCAGTTTCTGCTGTCAGCTATTAGGTACAGAAAGTGCTTTGGTATTTTCTTAGTTGCCACAAGTTTGTACCAGCATGTGTTGATAAGAAAAATTTCAACTTTATCTGATAGTACTGTCACTTCAGAGCATTTCTATTTCCCTTTCATCTAGGTTGCTATTGCAGACCACTGTGCATTGCAAACCTTCACTCTGCGAGATCCCCCCATGTAATGAAGACACTGCTATCCACAAATTTGTCAGGAGAACTTAGAATAGCGGGCAACTCTGGTCAGCAGTTTAAAAAATCATGCTACCATAGTAACAGGGGCGGAACTACCGGCGGTGCAGCAGGTGCGGGGGCCCGGGGCCCAAGGCAGTTGAGGGGCCCACTGAGGTCCGGTCCCCAACGTCTTCTAGTCTGTAGGGAGGGACACCAGCTGGGGGACTGAGCCAGTGTCCTTTGAAAACGGCCGCTGCAGCGGCGATCACTCTTCTCACTGAGAAGAGAGAGCTCAGAAGAGTGATCGCCGCTCTCGATCAGTGAAGCCGGCACACAGTAGTGACAGCTGTACACATTCTTCTCCTCAGCCACAGAGCGGCCAAGGGCAGAAGGATCTGTACAGCTGTCACTTTCAGGGGCGTAGACAAGGGGGGATAGGGGGGTTCAACCCCCCAGAGTGTCCTACCGTAGCTGTGGCATACCGAGGGGGGGGGGCACGTGCCCCCGGGCTTCAAATCATTCAGAGACGGGCATGGAACAAGCCCATCTAAAGGGATGCCGGGGATGTCCTGTTTGCTAAAACATCGGTGACGATGTTTTTCAGGGACGCGGATGTTTTATCAAACAGGACATCCCCGGCATTCCTTCAGTCATGCAATTGCTTTGCCTGGCCCTGGATGCTCTGTACATGCCTCAGTGCGGGCTCTGCCTTTCCAGTGACCAGGAGCAGAAGGGCTGCAGGAGACAGAGTGGGCAAACGAGGTATGTGCCTTAAGTCACATTGTTTTAACACTATGTAACCCTATCTAACACAAAGCGAGAGGGCGGGGGATGTGAGGGGAGAGGTAGTTTGGGGTAGTTTGGGGATGTTTCAAGCGCATTTATTGTACACTCCGAAAAAAAATCTTGCACCAGGGCCCTTTGATCCTTAGTTCCGCCACTGCATAGTAACTGCTGTTTCTAGAATTCTCAAAAGAAAACCTTCTCTCTAACAGCTAAAAGGGAGAACTGTGGACCGCCCAGGGTTCCACTAGTTATAGGGGTCCCACATTTTAGTAGATACCTAATTAATTTTCATTTGTTAATGAATTTAGGAGGATCAGTGTACAAAGGCATTTGTGTTATGCTTTTACGTGCACTCATATACGCTATATATTTTTTAGTGTTAACATAGCTTTCTGTTGCATCATGTTACATTGCATGTTTTTAAATACAGAACATTGTATTTTGCTGCCTTTCAAAAAAAAAATTTCCGGTATAAATTCATAGAGATTGCAAGGTGAACACATGGTAAGATACATATTAAACACAAGGACCCTGATTCATTTAGCTGCAATAGCATTTAAGCCACCTTAAAGTGCAATAACAGTACATCTAAATCATAATTGATTGTCATTAAGAGGCTCATTTATAACTGAAAGCAGATATTGCTATCTTCTCTCCATTATACTTCACAGTACTACTGCATACTGTGACCTGTCCATGCAGAAAATATAGGCCATGGTATGCAGCTTATGCTATCTTAAAGCAGCTTAACACAGTAGAAAGAACTCTTTTTTTCCCAAGCTCTCCATTCATTTCTATTGTGCTTTGCCAGCCAATCAAGTGTAGCACAATGCACTTATGTACCATAAAGGGGGCACACTGAGCACCAATGTTATGGGGGAACAAACACTGACCACCAACAGTTATGTGGCACTTACTACTGATCTAGAACATTTAGGGGGCACACACCAATGACTACCGATATTTAAAGGGGTACTTACCATCAATCACCACCATAAGGGGGCAGTAACTCTTGATTACTGAGATCTGCAAGCTGTTCTGTGCAGACCTAAAACACTTTGGTGGACATTTTAGGGCCTGTGGGGTTTTTTTAATGATTTTTTTGTTCTTTTTTCCTTTTATATAGTAAAACAAATATATTGTTTATTAATAATCACAAAAAGAAAGCTCTGTCCC